GAGCCTTGCTCTCTGTGTGGAAGCAGTGGTCTCTCTGTAGGCTACTTACCTGACCCGATCAATATCTTCCTCCGCTACTTACCTGATCAATATCCCCCCGCTACTTACCTGATCAATATCCCCCGCTACTTACCTGATCAATATCCCCCTGCTACTTACCTGATCAATATCCCACCGCTACTTACCTGCTACTTACCTGATCAATATCCCCTCCAATAACCCCCCCCCCCCTCAGGATTTCATTGGCTGGGTCACAGCGCTGCACCTCAGGCACTCCGGCATCACGTGACCTGACCCTTTGCCCTCGCTCCCTCCGTCACTAGGTGGGGCGAAAACTTTGGTGTGTGGGCGTGGCTTTCGGAAGAGGGCGTTGCGCAGAAAGACGAGATAGGGAAGTGTGGGCGTGGTTCGAGTGACAGAGGGGCGCGACTAACATCAGAAAGCGCGAGAAAACGGATATGAGAATGTGGGCGTGGTTAAGGTCGATGATTGACGTGCCTTAGGAAGAAGTTCGAGAAGCGAAGTGAAGATCTAGTGCGGCGTGGGCGTGGTTTAGGTAGCTAAGGGGCGCGACTAGACTCCCCTACATACAATGCTAAGGGAAGTTGCGAGAGCTCGTAGACGTGGTTTAGGCGCCTGATGGGCGTTACCAAGGCAACAAGGGCGTGATTCGAAAAAGAGGAACGCTACGAAGTGTGGGCGTGGTGACGACAGCAGGGCGTGGCGTTGGTGGCCGAGGGGCGTGTCCGTGCTTCCAGAGAGTTCGGAGAGGAATTAAAGGGGCAGGCAGGAGGCGATCGGTGTGACGTGTGTACTCCGCAGACATCGCATGTAATTCCGTGCGATAAATATCTGCCTGTGATGCGATATTGGGGGTAGCTGTGTGTGGGGGAAGTTCAGGCAGCTGCTGGGAACCGATCCGCGGCCGATATCTGATCGATGTCCGCTGCACTTCCTGCATTGTGTGTGCAATGTATTCTATGCACTGTGAGATCTCGGTTGGACGATCCTACCGGATGATTGGACGAGCTGTGTGTGAGGCTAGTGGAGCCCAGATGGAGATCTCACCGTGTGTGGTCAGGTCTATAGGGAGCCTATCCACTGAGGACGACCCGGCCACCTGTGATTGGATTGTATGTGTGAGAGAATCCGCCCACGACAACCGATCATCATCGGGGGTGATGGATTTTATCGGCCAATCGTCGGACGGCGACCCCTGTGACCGCTCTCCGAAATCTGGCGCCGTTTTTTCCTTTTAATAGACGGATGAGGGTCAGCAATCTTCGATGACCACACGCACCCTACAATCTGATTGTACAATCTTCTTTTTAGATCTACAGTCGCTTATACATACAAGGGCCTCTCTGATTGGACGGATCAGGTCGGTCCTCCTATCGCATAGTTCTGGTGAAGGAGATTGTACAGTGTATGGGCGGCGTTGGCTTCTTGTAGATCGCTGTGGCGGGTGATCTGGGAGAGATTGTTACGAGGAACGTCCCCGATTGGGAACGCTGTGTGGGGGGGTCGATCAATGATCTATAATGATCAATATGTGATTTGATGACCACACGCACCCTACAATCTGATTGTACAATCTTCTTTTTAGATCTACAGTCGCTTATACATACAAGGGCCTCTCTGATTGGACGGATCAGGTCGGTCCTCCTATCGCATAGTTCTGGTGAAGGAGATTGTACAGTGTATGGGCGGCGTTGGCTTCTTGTAGATCGCTGTGGCGGGTGATCTGGGAGAGATTGTTACGAGGAACGTCCCCGATTGGGAACGCTGTGTGGGGGGGTCGATCAATGATCTATAATGATCAATATGTGATTGGTCTACACCCCCCGCCATACAAACGTTTTATGGAAATACGATGTGTGGAGAGAGCGAGGACGTCACCGATCTGTACAATGTGATCTATACGAGTCACATCTACACACACACACAGATCTCAGAGGAGACTCCCGACCCCCAAATCTGTTACATTGTATCACTTTGTATTCTTTTTTTATTTATATTTTTCATTTTTTTGGTATTTTTTTTCCTTTTTAGTGTTTTTTTTTATATTTTATTTATTTTT